GACTGTGACCCCGTCAGCGGAGGCACTAAAGCAGCAAACTCCGACCCGTACCGCTACAAGATGGACTACCCCTCCCTCGGAACCTGTCTGATTATCAACAATAAGAACTTCGACAAAAGCACACGTAAATACGCCCGTTGGACAAGTCACACACCCACTGATGCACACGTCGCGCGGCCACTTCCACAAATGTTCTGTTCATCCAGAGTGCCAATGCGTCAGCTGATTTCAGTAACTGCCTAAAACCCATTAGTCACGTGTGATTTATACAGTAAACAGGCAGATGTGTACAGGTGTAAACAAAGGGTCAGAGCTCAGCAGACGATGTTCTCCATATAGCTGTATTTCCTGCGTCCACCATTTTGAGGCAGAGGCGGTATGTTTACAGAGAAGAGATGGGGGTAGTGTGACTGAAATCCAGTTCTGAGAAATCTTGATACGTCACAGCAGGTAAAGCACCGGTATAAAAGGCTTCAGGGTCCTGGTACTGTGCGTGTTCACTGCCTCAGTGTAACGGAGCCATTATTGTGTTATAAGACACACATATGCTGTGTTTTACCAGGCCTTTCTGACTGACCTTCTCTTTCCACATTTCAACTCTGTGTGTTTGAATTAAGCTCATGAATGCCTATTAAGGCCTCCACAAAGCCACGCCTCATCACAAGTTCACCAAAAGTGGTCACAGTATTTAGTTGTTATTCCATTTAACACACAGATAAGAGAGCTCTTATCTTGAGTCTACACAATAAAACTTTATTATTAATTAGTGCAGCAGTGAATAACTGTGAAGTAAAGTGCAGAAAGAGTTTCAGCCTGTATCAGAGAGCTGTTCAAAAGTTACGCAAACAGGAAATGTGAGTTCAGAAGGTTCCGGTTGTGCAGCCCTGATCACTGTGCCACAGTGTAGACACTGATAACGCCTCTCCTCCTGTGTGTTTGTGTTTCCCTCTAGACATGAGTCCTCGTAACGGGACCGACGTGGATGCCGCTACCGCCATGAAGACCTTCACTGATCTGGGTTATGACATTAGATTCCACAACGACCTGACCGTGGACCAGATGAAAGAACAGATGTTGAACAGTAATAGAAAATACAGTTTTTCACTCGTTCCTGCTCGGCACTGTGACTGTGTTCACATTCAACATTTAATTTAAAATCACTTTGAAGTAATGCTTGGAAACGGTGATGTTTTTACGGTTGCTTGAGGTGGTTTTTGCCTT